AAAGGATAGGGTCACGTATTTCGAGTATCCCGATGTGTTCCACGACTGGGTGTTGTTGCCGTGGATTGAGCCCGAGCGCAGCCAGGCCTTCAACGACCTGAGGAAGTGGCTGGAAGGCGTGTACGGGATGTGAAAGGGATGTGAAAGGGGAGGCGTGTGTGTTCTACTGGGACTCTCAGAGTATGTTTGGCTGACTATACGTTCAGGTTTTCACAGAATCTTTCCACCCTTTCAGTTGCACATGTCTTCATACGATCGCTGGCTATTCCTTCGTTTCTCGGGTTTCCGACAGAGATGTGAGCTTGTACATGCTATTGCCTCGTGCTATATGGCTGCTCACAAGACGCGAGTTGACAGCATTACAATTTTTTCGGGCCTTAGTGTTGACCGCACCACCATTGTGTAGATTTGTCTGAGGCGTTCAGTGCAGAGGCCAAGCGGCCGTGAGACAGACGACAAGGCGCCGTATTATGTAATCTTCGCGTACCCACCTAAAGCGGAAGTCGTGAAATATTTCGGCGCTTAGAGCGACTGAGCCTCCGACTCCGACTCGTGAGGAGAACCAACGGGCAGCAATTTTGCCACGTATTTCCCATCTCCTAAAGCTAGTCTAATCACCCAATGCAGGTCAATGTATACAATAAATGTCACAAGCTATCTACCTCCTCGTTGCTGATATGTATCATGTGCGGCTCTTGCTCTCTCAAGGGCTTCTGAGGCTGATAACATCAGGCGCTATCACATTTCTCCTCATATGACCGGATTGGAGCCTCCAAGATCGCAGCGGGAAGGAGATAAGTCGCGTTTTCTGTTCTCGGTGTCTTCAGGCTATGTCGGTCCCGAAGACTGGTTGTCATGATGATGAGAAACCTCCAGGCACAGCCGTGAGTCTTCCACACTTCTTCGAGCGGTCTTCCGGTGAATGTCGAAGTCAAGCAGACTTCTACTCCGTAAGCATTTTCGGCTCCAGCGTTACGTTAGGTGCGTAACACCGGGCTCGTGTCTTCTTGGAAGCTGCTCAAATGCTCGCTGTAGATGGCCGTATTAAATGTACCGGTTACGTATTGTGATATCGTCTCTATCTGCCAAAGTCATACTCGGCGACTGTCCTCCTACGCCGTAACACTTACGTGTCCTATTCATCACATAGACAGAGCTGAGTGCAGTGCTACAGTCTACAAATACAGCACCGCAATCAATGCACAAGTAGAGCCTCCTAGAGCTTATCGGCCGTCAGAGCTGCTCGCGGATATTCTCATGCAAACTCAGGGTTACCTCGCTTCGAGCCGACGACACAGAACTCAGAACTCGAACAGGCAGTTTCCCTTTGATGACTCTGGGGGTTTGTGCCGTTCCGCGAGGTCGCATCTCACCTACGCCACCATGCTTCCTCCGCCTTCGCCATCACTGACACTTCACAGAAGACGCGCTTGTTGATATGGGCGCGGCTTCTCTGAGACGTTGACTAAAGCCCACTTGGCAGATTGGGTCGCTGGCGAATACTGATTCGTCCATGCGGTGTCGTGATGCATGACATCCCCAGACGCAGTCTAGATCCAGCGATGCACAAGCGGCAAGGGAAAACTGTTCAGGCCATTCTGTGCACCCTGAGGTTCCCTCTATGGATGCACCGCTGCGGATATGACTGTATGTCCCATGCGCAAGCGACCCTAGCAGGAGGATGTCGGCACCCTCCGAAGGCTGTGGTTAGGTACATCGAAGCAATGCGTGGATCGCACATTCGTTCCCAGGCACACTCTATTTCCCTCCCCCAGACCTTCGGGCTCCCGAAGCTCACGCGCATCTTCATTGGCGGTTCCCTAGGCTCCCGAGCCCTGTCCAGCTCCGACCACGGTTTGTCATGTAACATAGGTTCACCCACCCGGGCTGGCTAGGGACGCGAATAAACGTTGATGATGCGCATGCAGAATGAAGCAGCGCAAACAGGGGACTCTAGGATGCCGTTGCGGAGTTCCGATCTTCGTAGGTTTGAGCAAACGGTATCAGAGCGTCGAGTAGCATTCGGCGTGTGATCCGATTACTTAAAGCAGTTACACCGAGTAATAGACATCAGCGCCACGATGAGCCTGTGAGCGGTGAGCACAAGTCTGTGCTATCCTCAAGCTAAGGCTTATGCCTGAACGTCGTCAAGCATGAAGCACACATGCATGCCGCATTACGAGAAATTTTCCGGCGAATAGCAGCTACATATTCCCAGGAACATCGCTCTGTCTCCGAATCGAAAGCAGTGCGACGACGGCTTCCAACCCCGCAGTCATCTTGTTCGTCTCCACTTCGCAGCATAGCACTCATTGATTACAGAATTCCAGGAAGATTTTCGCATAGAGGGGATCTAGTATATGCAGAAACATGTTGAAGCGGGCGCACTTCAGCTCCTGTCCATCATGATTTGTCCTGCATGGCAGTGAAGTTCCCCGGGATGGAAGCTCGTCGCGACCCGCTTCGATTGCCACAAAGATGATTCATCTTTGATGAGCGAAGACGTATACGAGCGAGCCATTCATATGCTGTTTGTAAGGATTTTGAGCTATGTCTGAGCTTGCTGGACAGTAGCTGAGCGCATACTTGAGCTCGTACCCCGGTGAATACGTGCCACACTAATTTCGCGCTCGTCTTGTACACAGACAGCTCGCACTGAGGATGTTCGGCGTACAGGGAATTGCACTCTTCGGACTAGTAGCGCTCTTTGCAGTCTTAGCATGGCGTCACAGTCGAAGGCTGCCTCTTCCTCCAGCTTCGACGAGTTCCGGCGACTCCCACATACAGCCCTGGAGGGCTTATGCCGAGCACTCTAAAACTCTTGGTTTGTGTTGATATTATTCCTGCTGAGCGCTGCTTATGGCATTTGTAGGACCTCTTTTGACTGTGAGCTCGTTGGGCCGCCAGGTCCTCGTCATCAACACGGTCGAAGCCGTCACAGAACTGCTCGACAAGCGTAAAAACTTTGCCTGCAGACCGCGATGGCCCATGGCAGACCTGTTGGGGCGTCAGAAGAACGTCGGCTTCCAGTACTACGGAGAGCGCCTCAAGCAGTCGCGCAAAGTGCTCCACAGTTCGCTGAACGCAAACGTCATCCGCACGACATGGAACGGTATTCTCGGCGAATATTCTTCTAAGCTCATGCTTCGCTTCCTGGAATCTCCTGAGACGTTCTATGAGGACGTGCATCGGTGTGTTGTTGTACTCGCCTACCTACTCCAGCATTCCGGCTCACCCTGTTATCTAGCTGTATCGATCTACTGATCGTCCGCTTCGCCTACGGTCGCGAGCCTGACGCAGAGCACCTTCAGCTCGCGAAATCTGCAATGCAAGACACGAACGAAGCGCTGCAGCCGGGCAGATGGCTGGTTGACACTATTCCCGCTCGTAAGTCGAAGCGCTGCCTATCGTCCTTCTCAGATTCTGAACCCATGCAGTCGCCTACGTCCCTTCCTGGTTTCCTGGTGCAAGTTATATGCGATGGGCGCGGTCTGCTAGAGAAAAATACCAGATGTTGACGCAGACGCCCTTTTTACGCGTGAAATGTGACCTGGTGAGTGCGACGTCTCAGAATATTGCACACGACAGCTGGTTAATGGTATGTGTCACGATGCAAGCAATTCAATGGAGATGCTCCTCTGTCGTTCGCCCGTCACGCCCTTGAAACGTCTGCTGGGACAGCCGAGGATGAAGATGTCATTATGTCAGCGGCTGGCAGCCTTTACAGCGGTATGTGCACCACTTCCAAGAACAGGTGAAGAGCTGATCGCTCCCTCAGCCGGCACAGAAACTGTACGTTCTACGCTTTTCAGACCAGAAGCAGGCTTCTGAGGCATTAGCTACACAGCTGATCAGTGCAGTCTTGAACGCCATACTGCTACTTACCCTCCACCCAGAGGTCCAGTCCCGGGCCTATGCTGAGCTCCTGGCCGCTGTAGGCTCTGATCGCCTCCCAGAGACGCAGGACATGAACTATCTGCCGTACATGAACTGTGTCATTCAAGAGTGCCACCGTTTCAGTCCTGCCGTTCCACTTGTCACCCATTCCAACATCGACGAGGACTCGTACCTTGGCTACCGCATTCCCAAGAAGACGTGGATCATGGCCAACGTCTGGTAAGTCAACTGTGGCTTCGTCATGTGCGTCTCTCAGATGGACTAGGGCGATGCTCCACAACGAGAAAGAGTACGGACACCCCTCCGACTTCAACCCGGATCGGTTCGCACCGGAGAAAGGGAAGCCTGTTCCAAGGGACCCTCGAACGGTGCTCTATGGCTTTGGCCGCAGGTGCGTCTCAGTGGCAGCGAGGGGTCAGACCTATCACTCACTTTATATAGGGTTTGTCCCGGGCTGCATTTCGCGAACCACTTCATATTCCTGGTGATATCGAGGCTCATCGCGTGCTTCGAGCTCCATCCTCAGGAGCTAGAGGGGAAAACGATGCGCCCGCCACTGCAGTACACCACTGCGCTGATCTCGTAAGCTTTCGTTTCCGCACGGCTTCGACGTGTTTCTAATCATCCTATTCCAGCACCCCGAAGCCGTTCAAATGCGTTTTGAAACCTCGTCCGCAGGCAACGGAGCTTTTGGGATGCGATTAACAGATTTAGAGTGTTCTATGAAACCTTAGAAATATAAGATTGTCTGTTTACTGCACAGGACGGCGGAAGTAACTGGTCGTACATAACTGTCGCGGAGACAACGGCAAAGGGGGCGTGAGATTTGGCAGCTGCCGCCCGCCACTGTAGCAGACCGACTTTCCGTGGTGATCCTGAACGCACTGCGGGCAAGAAAAGTGTGGCTCAACTACAGCACCTGTCGCAGGCCAGCGGATGCCCTAGTGATCATTCAGCGACTGATTTATTGAGCCAGGTCGAAAGACTACAGCAAACCGTTCTTGCACATATCGCCACATGCACATTACAAGATCATATTTGACAGAAAAACCGGGCGATATACACGGTCAAATAGTCGACTGAGCCGCACGCCAGATGATCTGGGACGCCTTCGACGCAGATCGGGGCGTAATACAACACTTGAACGGCTCAGGATAGCTGAGAGGGCGGTGAGTCGGCACCTAAATGAACATAATCCCTGTGCTCTCACCTGACGAGACCCTTGCTGAATTCAACTATGAGTTCTTCATTTTCAGGGAGTGAGATGTCGAAAATCGCCACTATGGTCGAGATAAGGATGAACACCGAGTTCTCCGCAAGATACCTTCCCGGACACACGCTGTGTCACAAAAGTTGTTAACACGCAAACTCAAGATGTACCATTCAGCGTGCGTACCGCCTGCCAAAGCCAAAGGCCCACAACGTTGGATCAACAAATCTATCGTCCTTCTTATTGAGGAACCGCTCCGGGACGAACGCGGTCGGGTCATACTGGTCAGTACGCTCCATCGCAATGGCCCTGAAACCTCTCAATAAAGCACGTGGAGGCGAGGCAGGGGAGCTTACCAGACGTTTGGCATCACGATTGTGCCCTTCGGTATGGTGTAGCCCTCGTAGGTATCGTCTTTGGCTGTACAGCGAGCTATGCCTGCACAAGCTCACGCAGTCAGCGGGAAAGCATCTGATGGAGCAGTCTCTTACGTACTCAACGGTAGCGCAGGATGCCAACGCATGACTTCCTTGATTAGGGCCTCGACATATGGGAGGCTCTCACGATCGCTGATAAGTGGAAGACGGTCAACGCCAACGACATGGTCGATCTCGTCCTGGGCCTTCTTCAACTTGTCCGGGTGCATGGCCATCAGCATGATGCAGGTGAGCACTGTCGCGTATGTCTGGTCACGGTGAGTCAGTCAATATCCTGTCTCCTCGACAAGAACTCACAGTCTCCCCACCGGCTGGAATATTATATCAGCGAATCGTGCGAATCATGCATTCGAAAGACTCGTACCGCCGTACAAGGAGCCTGCGCTCCACTTGATGCTATGCTCTTTATCGTTAACACCCTGAACCTCGGAGCTCAAGAGATCCCGCGTCAACGACACCGGGGCAGTACCGGCATGCTAAGATGAACGAAGTGAGCGGGCAGACCGGGCAGCACGAATCATGGCATGCGGACTAACCATCTCCTTCTTGACGTGCTCGAGGGGTCTGGTGACCAGACGCTCAATCATCTCTCTTCCAGCGTGTGCTTCCTTCTGGAACGGAACCCAGGAGGGCGAGTACTTCACTAATGGTCTGCGATGAGCTTCTTGGCTCCAGGACTGCTGAAGAGTCGACCACGGGACTCACAGATGGGGATGAGGTCGCAAACGAAGGCACCAGGCAGGGTCGCATTGCTGATCATGTGCATCGTATCCTCCGCATGTGTAATATACTACGATATGATCAGCGAAGAGCTCGAGGAAACGAGCCTCACGAACCTCGTCTTCTGCTTGTTCTACAGACAGTCCGTACGTTATGGACAGGATGAGCCTCGATGCTGTCCTGTCAGATGACGTCAGTGGGTCTAAGGGCGCAACTTATTTCTCAACTTACAATCGAACGTGAGAAAAAAAGTCTTCCGGGTCTTCCAGTATCTGCTTGCTGAGGAGCGCAGCAAGGTCTTCTTGGACTACATGGTACTGTTTGACAGCACGCGGACTCAAGGCATGATGAGCGAGCTTCCGTTGAGCCCTCCACTCTTCGTTGTAGTTGAGCAAGGGCATGCTCTATCTCCGCTATCAGTGGGAAGCAAACACATAGGCAAGAGATCTTACCTGTCCAAGGCCCATAAGCTCGCCTACGACAGTAAACGCAGGGCGATCAGAATAGATGTCCGCTCTTTTCTCAAGCAGATCCTGGACCGCCTTCATAGAGTTGAGAACGAGTAGATTATTGCCCAGGCCATGGAAGAAGACGAGATCACCTGCTAGATGGTCAGCAACACTCAACCAAAGCAGTCCTTTGAACTCGCCATAAATGTCTTTATATTTCGTAAATTTGATCCAGCCAGCCTTCGGAGAAACATCGAGGATGTTCCCAACGACAGGCTTTGAGGGGGGACCGGGCGGGAATATGGCGGTCGGACGGCGCCGCAGACGATACGAGGCCAAGGCTAGCAGGATGACCGCGCAGCCCGCCCAAAGTTGCAGTGACATGGCGGAAAGTAAAAATGGGTACGGTCAAGTGCCCAAAGTTTCCTAGTACTTCTCAATTTCGAGCCTGACGTCTAGCATGGCATGATTGATGCTTTTCCTCAGCCAGGACCGCTACGTGCTGGTGTGGTGATGGTGTCATTGCGATTCGGCAGTAGTCATTCTTTACTCCACGGGAGCCAATACCATCCACGGAATGTCAAGCTTTAGGGGTTCGAACGTTCAAATGGCGATATTCAAACCTTGTACTTCTGTGGAGATGAAGCTTATAGCAAATTGCGTATTTGTCGCCGGGGTCACCTTCAGCGCGGGCCCAAGAATTTCGGTGGCCTAAGCAGACATGTTAACATCCGTCCTTAATCTTCATCAGCACCCTAAGCCTTCTTGCAGCATCTACATCAGAAGAAGTCACGCACCATAAGGACGAACAAGCACTGCGGATGGCCGTGACGGGAGCTTTGAGTCGGCGCGTCTCGGG